ACGGGCGATCTCGTCTGTCCCAGCTTTAAAAGCAACCTCATCTGCTCCGGCACGAAAAATGACCTCATCTGCCTCCGCATCAAAACCAACCTCTTCTACTCCCGCACCAAAAGCACCCATGCCTGTTCGTGCATCAAGAGCGCCCTCATACGTTCCTGCATCTGGAAGGTCAATGCCTGCTGCTCCTGGGCGGAGTGGAGCTTCATCTGCTGCTCCGACGACTGTAAGTTCAAATTCAACTGCAAAAAAACAATATTAGTTGTATATTATATTTTACTTAGGGCATAAAGCGCCCTTGTCTTTCGTTCTTTTGGATATTCCGTTGTTACAGTAAGTACACTTTGCGTTTTATTCCATATTCATGTTTTAGCGGAGCACTACTTTGAATGCCGAGAACTTGTCCATGTTCTATTTTTATTTTCCAGTTACCCTATTGCCCTCTCTGCGAACTGAGCTTTTCAAATGAAGCTGATCGCGAGCGACATCTCAACGCTCATCCGGAGCTTTGGGATAAATGTCCTGTTTGCATGTGTTTTGAAACGGTATTTCCGGTGCAAACATTCAACGATCTTTACAAGCATTTGCTACAGGAGCATTTGATCAAAACTTTGAGACCGAATGTTTGTTTTTTAATTTTTAACAACGATTTGTTTATTTTTTAAAATAACAACGCGAGATCTGCTTGCTCATAGATGCTGTTAGCAAGTATTTTTGCTCAGTGAAGTAACAAAATTCTTAAGTTTTTCTCGTTAGCGGAGTCGAATCGACGTTTTAAGTGAGGGTTGTGCCATAGCTGGACCATACACACTATATTTTTTGGGAGTAGAGTAAAAAGACTTTCACGTATAATTTTATGTGCTTCTTTGACTGAAAAGTGAGTTTGAGAACTAAACAAACTAGAAAGCTGGAATTTTGCGCGACACTCACTATCTGTAGGCGATCCGAAGAACTCGATTTCAGCCTCTAGCCCCGTGGCGTGGGCCACGCTCACCTCCACCTTGAAAGCTTTTTAAATAAATTGCTGGAATAATTGGTAAGGTGACAGTATTGAAGGGCGTAGGGTATCACAAGCAAGACAACTAAGCATGGCCCAGTGTGCACGGTGCACATTTTTTGTATGTTTTAAGCATGATTCCCAAGTCTGAGAAGAAAGTTAAGTTTCTTTTCGTCCTTATGTACTAAAAAATGAAATACTTTGACTGGAAAATCAGTCTGAGAACTGAGCAAACTAGAAAGCTGGAATTTTGCGGGACACTCACTATCTGTAGGGGACCCGAAGAATTCGACTTCAGTTTTTTTATACTTATGCCTGGCATTTGAACACGCTGTTTTTGCGGCGTTATTGGCACCATGCCAACTCGGGAACCAGAACTGGTAGCGAGATATAATCGTAAGATGGTGGTTGTTAGCCATATGTGCGTTAGTGCCGTAAGATGAGAATTCTCGGACGTTTAAGCTTTGTGTGAGAATACATGGAAAGTTAACGGTGACAACTTTATGACTGCACAACGAGATCAGCCAGAGAGCTGGAATTTTGCGAATTTGCTCAGTGGAAACTTGCGAGTCAGTGCGCTTGAAAGCACTCCTTACATACCCTTCTCGCTCGTGTATATTTGAATTTTGATGCTGATAGTTTTGTAACTGTACAGCTGAATCGAAAGGAAAGGACACAAAACTGCGATGACAAATTTCTGCTTTTTCAGTTTATTAAAGTATTGTGCAATTTATGCCGCTCATTTTCGTCCTGTGAATGCACCGTGGAAATTTCGGTGAAACGCTGTGAGGAACAAATGGTGCGGCATATTCTTTATTCGTGTAATGTGGCTAAATCATGCTTCATTTGTAATGACGGCAAATTGTTCACACGGGA